CTCTCACACACACACATACACACACACATACACACACACACACACACACACACACACACACACACACACACACACACACTGCCCGAACTAACCTCCATGTCCACATAGTTCCCCTTCCCTGAGGCGCTCCTCTTGAGTGGCGACGGACGCTCTGGCGGATGGTTCTTGGGTGATGAACACTCTTCGCTTTTGTCCTCTAAAGATACATTTATATAAGGATCATCCACTCCGTCATCTGAAAAAGAGCAAAACAGTCCACTTACTTGATCTTCGACTCTCTTCCTCCTCATCAGTGTTTGTAATAATAATATTATTACTAATTTCCGGGGTTGTGGACTGTGAATTCTTTAGCCGTCTTAGCAACTGATTTCGCAAACAGCACTTTGTCCCTTTTGGAAATTAAGCTCTGAGCGCTGTATTATGAATTAGAATGAACAGCACACGGGCACTAAAATATATACGCTGAAGTGAAAAATAGTGACTCTATTCATTATCTGAAAAGATGTGTTTTCCAACGGATGTTTAAAGACTCCGTATTTTTTTAATTTCTGTCGTCTTATCTGAGGAGAATGTTCCAGATTTTAGAGCCAACAAATGCAACAGGTTTTTCACAAAATGAATTGGATTTTAACTTGGGTAATCTAAACCCAGTAGCATCAATTAGTGACGGCAGCTGTCTTGATCAAACAAGGGGTCATTCCCATTCTCTCATTCGTGACAAAGGGTGAACAATCACACGCCATTCTCTTTTTTAAAAGCTGACAGCCAGTAAAGATGTTCTGGGGAATGTGACGCTGAGTATCTTTTCTGTTTTTGTCTATCTTAGGCTTAGCCAAGCAGCATTATTCTGATTAACTTGGAGTTTATACTTTGTGTTCGAAAGAATCAGTCCCGCTTGCATAGAGTGGCAATAGTCACGTGTCTAAGGACTTGGCTGTTTGTTTGTTTTTTGCGTGTTGTAAGTGGGGTTTTTACACGCCTCATTGGCACAATTTAGAACGGAAGCGGGTTTCCCACCCTGCTTGTCGGGGGCAACCCAGGCTGAGAGGGATACAATATCCCAGCAGAAAGACCAAGATACTCGATTTAAAAAACCTCCCCTCCCCCCCCCCCCACGACCGGGAATCGAACTGGGGTCTCCTGCGTGCAACACTGAAACGAAGAGCCTAACTCCTACTCCACAGACGCCGGTATTAAGCTGTTCATGAGCGTAGCTGTACATTGTTCTCGACGAGACGTTGAATTGTACTAAAGTTTCTTATATTAGATAAACACACTTTATCAATTCGTTTACGTAGGTAGAAATTGATAGATCATTGCAAATTTAAAAAATACAACAACAAAAAACAACCCCCCCCCCCCCCAAAAAAAAAACCCACTCCTAGGTTGTTACCTTTCTTACAAAACGAATAGTACGGGTACAATCTTCAATCACCTTAAAAATCGATGGTTTTTTGCACTGCTTGCCAAACTGACTTTTGTTTTGTCATCATTTGGTCTCATTCATCTACTCCTTAATTGATCTGATGGTTTTTTCAACAACAGAAACAAGCTCAACAAGGTCTATGTTGTTATAGATGATCCATTATTATGTGTATTATCTGCGTAAAATGTTTATTTAAATCAAATTCCTTGATGACATTGAAGAGTGGCTAATCTAAATTTTTAATGGTTAAGGGGTGGGGTGGAAGGGTACTTCCTGAAAGTCCCGAGTCGGGTCAAAATTAAAGATTTTGAGATGTTGGTATTTTTGTTTTTTTCACCCTCTCTTACAACTATTTCATCGCATAAGAACCCCTTATATCCTTATTTTTTCACATACCTGACATGTTAGTCACCATCGTTTCCTCATAATGTCAGTCTTTTATTTTTTTTTATTCGCCCTTTTTTCAAAATGCAGGTTTTCTATATACTTTTTAATGTAACTCCACCACTTTCATCCAATCTTCTTGGAATTTTCACAAAATGAAGAAAAGATGTAACACTAAATAGTCTGTTGTTGAATTTTCGGTATATGAAATACATTTTTGTTGGTGGTGTCTAGAGTGTGATTTTCACGGGGGTGGGGTGTGTGTGGGGGGGGGGGGGGTTGTTGTTGTGGCAAATTTGAATACTACTTCAGGAAAGAAATTCCTTGAAATTGTTCTCCTTCGTTTCGGAAAAATTCAAGAGACAAAATTCGTAGATTTATTGTATGTTAACATGCTTGCAACATAACAACTAATTTCCATGCAAAATAAGTGCGGTATTCATTGCATACAACATGTCAACAAAATCCTGTATAATAACCGTCTCCATGGCAACAGCTATGTTATTTGCTGTCGTAACAAATAGCTACCAAACCTCAGCAAATTCAGCAATATATTTATTTCAGTTTGGTGGAGAGTTTTTTTACGTCAATAGGATAAAGTCTTTTGTATCTCAAACAAAGACTACATCACAAATGATGAAGTCAAACAACGGATCAAAAAGGCCATTTTATGCTAACCTTGTCACTCTGGTCAGGAAACGGTATGGGCACATCACCCGTTCATCCGGCTTTGCCAAGATAATCATGCAAGGCAGCGTCCAGGGAAAAAGGAGTAGAGAACGACCGAAAAAGAGTTAGGAGGACAACATTAAAAAATGGAGAGGCCTGGAACTCAAAGACATGCTCAGAAAAGCTGAAGACCGGAAGGAGTGGAGAAAGCTAGTGGCCAAATCTTCAAAAGCGCCCCGACGGACATCCAGTCTACTGGATAGGTGAAAGTGAAGGTGAAGGATAAGAAAGGAGTGAGGTTATAGGGAGCCCTTGATGCTGAAATCTTATATTTCAAATTTCATTGGCTCCGTACGTAGGCTAAATAGCGGCAATGTTGAGAGTTGATAATTTGTTTCGAAAATTGTTCCATTTTCTCTGACATTCTTTCATTCATTCTTTTTGTGAATGTAGTTAAATAGGTGGGGAAGTTGCTAGATAGGTAGTTAGGTAGGCAAATAGGCAAACAGGCAAACATGCAAACAGGCAGACACCATACGACCCTTAGACCTTCACCTTTCTCCTCTTCTCCTGACTCTTGTGAGGTCAGCGACACGTTGAGGTAACACGCCCCATCATCAGTTGTCTGTGTGGCGTCAGGTGTAAAGGTTACTCTTTTGTTTCTGACGGTCGGGACCGAGGTATGACCGTCGCGTGGCGATTTTTGGTCCACACCTACGTCCAAATACAAATCTTCTTCTGTGCGGCCTATGGACAGATAAAAAAAAAAGAAATGTGATGTGACACTAAGCTGAATGGTGTTTTAAGTTTTAGTTGAGGTTTTACGGAGCTCGCAACTGCATAAGATCATATGAGCGCCAGAAGATTAGAGGTGTTACAAGAGAGTAACAAACGTAAAAAAGGGGAGATAAGGACGATAGATGTTTCATAGGAAAAAAGAAGAAAAACCACTCCAAAGCACCCGCCAACAACCCACAGCTGAACGTTTGAAATTCAAATAGACCTAATTAAGAACTTTGGAAGACAATGGACATCATCTTGTATAGGGGCAAGGACTATTTATTATCAAAA